GTCTTCGCGCCGCTGAAGGTCTTCGTACGCCCGCTTGCGCGCATCGTTCATGGCATTCTTGCGCTCGTCGCGCTGCTTGGCGGCGAGCGAGATGTTGCTGAGCTCCTTGTCGTACTGACGCTTCTTGGCCGGGTCGAGGAGGAACTGGCTCGCGAGCTGGAGCTCGTGGAACTTCTCCGGGTCGCCGCCCTTGTCCGGGTGATGCTTCAGCGACATCTTGCGGAAGGCCTTCTTGATCGCGTCCTCGTCCGCGAGGGGCGGTAGCCCCAGCACCTCGTACTTGCACCGCTCCGCCATCCTGCCACTGCGTCCCAGAATGTGGCAGCTGCAAACCGGTTTCTTGGCTCTCAACCGGCTATCAAATGCTAACCGGCTACAGCCGGTTTGAAGCCGCTGCGGTTCCAGCCAACCACCGCATTGGACGCGATGCCACGAGAGGTTTTATTCAAAAACGCGTTTTTCGCGTCATCAATGACGCTGCTGCGAAAACATCTTCTTCCACTGTGACCGACCGACTCAGTATGACTGCAGCTAACCTCCTGCGATGCAGCGTTGAGAGCGTCACTAGGGCCATGCCTCTGAAACTGAGCCGGCGTCTGTACTGAGCAGGACCTGGAGGCGCCGAGCTTTGGTGGACCGAAGGCTGGTCCTCGCACGGTGGCCTTGAGCCGGCACTCTCGCGGTGCTACGCGTACCACAAGAATTCTGCTGCGTGCAGTGGCTGCTTCGAGGCGCGGTGTCGTCGTCGCCTTGTGTTAACTTCCTAGGGAAAGTTCTCTGCCTCTTCAGTTGGTGCCCTCGGAGTCGAAATGCATGCGGCGCAGAGTGATGGTTTAAAGACGTTAAACGCGCTAAACCGTCGAGGCTTTTATTCCCCTTGCATACAAAGGCCAAGATGTAAATAAAACTCGCGTATTCTAGTACGCCCACCACCGTGGCCAGCACAACATCATTTCCTTCGAGCAATAATGGCTACTGGTACGACCGTGCGGATGACCCCCGCGGCCGTCACGACCAACCTCCTCCGCGCCTCCGCCCAGTCCTTCACGCCCACGACCACGTCGCCCTCACAGCCGGCGTCCGGCCGCGCGGCTGACCCCGCCCGAAGCAAGCGGACGCGCAAGCCGCGTGCCGCACCGGCCGCGGCCGCAGGTAGCCCCCCGGCGGCCAAGCAAGAGGCCAAGCCAGCTCGGAAGCGCCAGCCTAAGGCAAGTACGGGCCCGACGAATCCGACGCCGATACCAGCGCCGGCGGCGACCGCCGAGGCGGCGCCGTCCGAGGCCAAGAAAAATCCCGCTCGCGCAAGTCCAGAGCCAAGGCCAAGGCGCCCGTGGCCGCACCGGCGCCGACGACGGCCACCGCAACGACGACGACGACGAACGAAGACGACGGCGAGGACGAGTGCTGCCTCGTGTGCGCCGAGCCGTTCACGTACCACGCGATCGGCGAGTGCAACCACGCGGGCATCTGCTCGTTGTGCTCGATGCGCATGCGACTGCTCATGAAGGACAAGCAGTGCCCGATCTGCAAGCAAACCAACGACCGCGTCATCGTGACCAAGGTCGTCGCGCCCTACGCGAGCTTTGGCATTTGGGGCGAGACGGGCGGGCCGGGCGTCACGCTCGACGAGAAGGCCGAGATGTTTTTCAGCCAGTGCGACGACCACCACGCCGAGCTCATTGCGCTGCGCACGCTGCAGTGTCGCCACTGCCACGCCAAGGTCTTCAAGACGCCCGAAGAGTTTGCCGCGCACATGCACAGCGCGCACAAGCTGTCGTTCTGCGAGCTCTGCCTCTCGCACCAGCATTTCTTCGCCCACGAGCAGCCGCTGTACACGAAAGGCCAGCTCAAGGCCCACAACTCGCAGATCAACCGGCAGCACTCGACCCAGAAGTTCCGCGAGTACCACCCGAACTGCGAGTTTTGCCTCCGTCGCTTCTACTCAGACGTCGAGCTCCACACGCATCTGGAGCAGGACCACTTCAAGTGCCACCTCTGCAACGCCGGCCACCGCTACTACCGCAACTAGTACGCATCCCATGTCTAGACTCTAGGATCTGATGCGCGACTGTAGCATTGGCCTCGAGTCGCACTTTCGCAAGCAGCACCACCTCTGCGAACACCCCACCTGGTACGTCGTGTCGTGACCAGAATGTCTGGCGTCTGATCCTACCACATCTAGTCTGGGGAACCGGTTTGTGGTGTTTGGCGACGAACTCGAGTACCAGAACCATGTCTTTGGCTTGCACGGCGACGACACGCGCTTCCTCGCGCAGTTTGCCGGCCGCCCGA